TGTGTGTGTGTGTGTGTGTGTGTGTGTGTGTGATTATGGTGATGTTGTCACTGTGTGTGTGTTTGTGTGACTGTGTGTGTGTGTAGGTGGGATAATTTAATGTCTAAAAAATTTCAGGAATTTTGAGTAACTTAATCTTAGGTTTTTGAGGCAGAAAATAGTGTGTGTGTGAGGGGAGAGGTGGGATTTGATGTTTATTTTTGAAAACAAGACTTTAGATTTGACCTTTTTTGTATTATTTTTGTTCACAACCAGAAGTGTCACTGCACATGAAGCGCCACAAGGGGAATGGGTAAATACTAAGGGTGCAACAATACATATCTTGAACCGTTCAGTTCAGTGCTCTAGGTTCAATTGGCATAGATAGAATTGTATTAAGACTGTACTTATATTAAGCCCCTTGTCCCTAAGCACATTTCTACTCTATTCAATTTGGATGAGTTTTGTTCCGTTCAAGTGTGTGTCTCCAATTCAGTGTGTCCCTCACTCTGTGGGCATGATTATGGGAGGACTGTCTGCAGCGGCTTCAACTGTTGTGTTAAAAACAANGGGCTTACCAGCTCCTTTACTTTCTATGTTTATAATCAAGAGAGATAAAATTTTATTAGAACTTTTAGACCAATCATAACCACCCCCTGGAGTCAGTGTGTATATGTCCTGATGGTTTTAAACCCTCGGTGTTGTCTAAAAGAGAACGCACACCTGAGACACAAGCATTCATTCACTTTTTCATGTTTTTTGTATAAGCAGATTTCTTTAGGTTTAGTAATAAAAATTACTAAACCTTTTAATATGACCAGATTCTTAACCCTTCTCTCCCTCCAATTTGACAAAACGTTATAGTTTCTTAAACTGCGTCATTTGTCAAACAACTAATATAAGACAAAAATACTTCTCTAGGGAAATATCTTGTTCCTTCTTAAAGGTTAAACATCAACCTTTACGTTAAAACTAAATAACATTGAGTCTACTTTATTACATTCAGATGTGAAGAAGACAGTGACTCACCTGCAGAAATTCTCAGCATGGTCTAGGAGATGTGTACCTCCAAGACAACACAAAGCATACACATCACGCATTCTAACTCAAATCAAGAGAAGGTARGCTCAAATCAATAAGGAGTTACTGGRAGCAGTTATTGCAAGTTCTATGACTACATTTACGAAAAACACAAGGCCCAAAAACAACTCTATGACAAGTGTAGATATAGCTGCTTAGTCCATTAACACAAAACCAAGTGATGAGATTACAAAAACAGAAAGGATATAAGATTGGTGGTGCTGTACGTAAGATACAGTATGTACAGAGCCTTGGTCTTAGGTAGTGGAGTCAGCTGGAAAAGAATACAGGCTCAATAGACAACKCATTTGCCTGTTAAGTGAGTAACAGCCTGAAGAGGTTAATACAAAGTCTGATGAACTGAGCATATCTCAAAACATGGACAAATATGAACTCGGAACACAACGTCTGTCTGTGCCACAACCTGCTTCTTGGACAACCTCTAAGTGGTGACCTTCTGGACAGCTCTGAGACAGATCAAWCTGAGACACACAGACTGAGGATCTCTTTTCTTTGGCTTGTGCTTTGTCRCCCTCTTGTGTTRTCATTTTCACATTAACTCAGCTTTATGCTTTTCTGTAATCTTCCAGTCAATCCTTCCACACCTGTCCTCACTCTGTAATCACCCAGCTGCTTCCAACTTKCACTCAGCTCTGTTTGTATTTAATCGGTCCTTCACCACCTACTCATCTGTCCATTACATGGTTTTGCTTGGTTTGCTGCTGTGGGTTTCCTCTGTGCCCTTCAGTTAATGTTTTACCCCTTTGTCAGATTTTTATTTAATAAAGACTTTTTCCTTTCGGCCTGCCTGCATATCTGCCTGCATGTCGCTTATGTATAGTTAACATGTTCCAATTCAACAGGTCATCACAACTGAAAATATTAAAGAGTTTAAAAATTAAAAAAGGCATATTTCACCAAGAAAAATCACATGAAAGCATGTTTATTAAAAATAGGTTTATTTTAATTATGCTCAATAT